CCGCATTTGTCGCGTAAGAGGATTACACGCTTCGTTACCTTTATTAACCAAATAGGTTTCACTTTTATCCAAGCTATTGAACCCGAATCGTCACTCGGCGACATTTAATCCAAACGGGAGTCGGACAGCCACCACGATCAATTAATGCGCGCCTCTCTTTGCGGTTTACCGTTAAACGTTAATTGGACGATTAACGGCAACGCGAAATTCGGTGAAAACTCCGATGGAAAAGTGCGCCTTTAGACAAAGGCCATGCTGGGCATGAGGGCAGAGGCGCACGGGTTAAGCCAAGGTCACGATGGCAATGACTTCGGAACGCGTGATTCTGGTTCGCGTGGGCGCTGCTGTCTGATCTCTTTTATCGGTCCCAATCTGTGGTATCTGAAGATGCTACCGGGGCGAGAGAGTTTTCGGGATGACGAACGCCCATGCCATCGAGAGGGAAAGTACGTGAAAATACGCATCTGCTGGTAAAAGTGTGCTAGAGGTTAATTATGTAAGGACGGGTCTGACGGAGGTGTGGACGATGGGTGGAAATAAAATGCTCTTTCAAAAGGTTTCCTCGCGTGATGTCGGTGCCGGTAGCTGCTTATTTGAATACTCAAACAGCGCTATAAAAGACGGGATGGGCGACAGTGGGCTGGTAGGTTTGACGCTTTTGTTAAAGGCTTATTGCTTTGTAACAACTTTCTATAAGGAATATAACAAGTCTTTAAATTGAAGAAAATTTTTTAGTTAATTGAGAAGAAGACAGTACATACCAGTATAGAACTCAAGAATTCCAATTTTCATAAATGTCAATCAAAAAGCTACTAAAATTATAAATGCTCATCATTTTAAACAAGAAAGTGTAAACTAAAGACTACAAGTTAAATAATGCACAAAGAAGAAAACTCCTATTTTGATTTTTTAATAAATTTTTGTAGACATTCATAGTCGCATGCAATATACAGGTGTTCCGTTTTTATTGCTAATTACAAGCAAAAAATTCCTTTTTTATTTTAAATAATTGAAAAATTAAAGAGGCTTAAAAAACAGGTGACAGAATATTCAGTTTTAAGACAAAAGTTTCGTATAAACATGTGTCAAAAAACAGCATATAAGGGAACTACAGCTCCTTGAAAAGGATACGTCTTTTAATGAGTTTTTTTCCAATACCTTAGATTAGATTTTAGATTAAATTACATAATTTTGTATAGCTGATAACCTTTATACCTACACTTAAACGAATTCCAAGATCAAAATTTTTAATCATAGGTGTCCTAAACTAAAAAGTATCCTAACAATGTAGTTTTTTGCTACAACAAAATCCTGAATTGCATAGTTTCTCACAAAAAAGAGGTTTCTTGCTTTGTTTCGATACAACCTATATCTACCGTTTTTGGGTAAAATCAGTAGATATAAAATTTGTGTTACAGATCATCATATAAACAGAATTAAAACTCTTTTTATCCTATACCCCTCCAGTTTAGGATGTCTTTGATTAAAAATTTTGACATTTGATGTTTGAATTTGTTTAGGTGTATAAAGGTTATTAAAACTGAATATTCTGTAAACTGTATCCTCAATTGTAACTATGTTTATCGTTATTTCTGGCTTTTTATGGCAAAGTTTTTGTATCTTTATTGAATAATTATGAAAAAACATATGTATACAAAATCATGAAACAAGAAATGACCAAAAAGTTTAATATTATGTTTTTTTTTCCATGTTGTTCCATCTTATCTTGCTTGGCATTTTTCTCTAGGACGCGAGTTCTAAAACATTCTGTATATCAAAATGTTTTTTTTTCATCGAGTAAAAAGATAATTTTAATTCTTTTGGGAAACTGTCGTTTCTCTGAGGAACAGAATTCGAGTTTTTGCTTCATTCACAAAAATTTATACTGTCACTATTTGTCAAATGAAAGATAATTCAATTTGTAAATTAGAACTTGATTTTATAAGTTTTAAATATTTACGAATTTACGAAATATTGTTTATTTGAAAAAAGTTTTTTGATTTTTGGTGAAATTATTTTAAGTTTCCAACAAATAGTGACAGTACAATTTTTTTGAATCAAGCAAAGACTCGAATTTTGTTTCTGGAAGTGGAGTACCTACAACCTCAAATATGATCATACGATATTATCCTGATCAGATTCGGGTGCTACGAAATGGGTGTCCAAGCCATAAATTCTGAAAAGGCTCGTATATTATCGGCGGCGGGCATTCACGTCTTAGCAACGGCAGCTGGTAAATTGCGCGGATTTTTCCCCGACCATCGTGGTAATATTTATGGTATGCATTTCGCGTTTGAAATAAAAGTGTAGTCTTTTAAGTGGGTTTAGAGCGTTTCTTTGTTTACATATATACATAGGTGAGCAATAGCAGGTGTTCGTTCATTCGTAGTAATACACATTGAGTAAAACCTGTATTGGGCATTTTTTATTTTTCTAATGCTTGAGGTATTGACGGTAAAAATCCTTGAAACGAACATGCTACAATAATGACTGTGTATGTGTATGAGATTGTGCCCGCTCTTATCATGGCAGTATGTATTTCTCTTTTCTGAAGAAAATAAAACACGATTTTATTTATTTAATTGAATATGAATCATAATACCAAAAGTCACAGTGACAATCGTACCATATAAGTGCAAAAGGGTATCATTGTACAACTTATTGTTGTAATGTAATGTGCATATAATCGAATTATGCAATAGGTATCTCTTGGAATTTATGACTTAATAAAATTTTATTGGATTCGGTAAAAATAAAGAAATATCATTCCAGCAAAAGCTTGGACAATTGGCCAAAGAGGATTTTTTTCTCATTACATTTTGCAGATTAGATCGACTTACTTCGTTCTAAAGCAGCCCCCACACTGCAAATTCTTGACCTCTTTGTTTTTTCATAAAATTACTGTTACGCCGAGGTCGTAACTTATCGCTTACATTAATCCATTTTTTGATAGCGGACAGTCACTTAACATAATTGCCGATTGAAAATCTTATGCATAATAAAAACAAGTCCCACACAAAGACCTAATTGCCAATTGCAAGGGTTTATTATACCAGACGATTATAATCGGCTCCGGCCAAATATTTGACAGTTTTATGGGCGAAGAACTGCAATTTGGATTTTTCAACCGCCACCAATAATTACAAGGTTCGAAATTCGCTAGATAGATGCACACAATTAATAGCCTTTGTCTCGACTCTGTACTATTGGCAGTAAAAAAGTAAAAACAGTAGGAGGGCTTTTCTCGGATATCTCATTAATATTCATCAGCTTCCTTGTTGGACTTTCTTTGTCTATTAATGCTTTATTTTCGGTTAATTTCTTGACCTAGCATTGAATTCTCATCGACTAACGGCGCATTTAAATTTTTATTCCACAAGCGGTTAATTTAAATTAATTGGTGCGCGGCTACTAATCACAGTTTGGCTGAGCTATTAGCAAATACCTTCCAACCAATTAATTCATCGACGTTTCGCTCCCAATACCATAACTTTGCCCAATTGACAGCTTAATTAAATTATTAAATTAAAAATATGTCTCAATATTTATATATCAGATGGTAACAAAAAATATATAATAAAAATGTCGATACAGACGTCTTCGAATAACAAGAGAAAGTATATCGTCTGTACCATCTGAAAATCTTTCATAAGTCACAAGAACTGTTACATAACTGCTACGTCATATTTTATTATTGACAGAACAATGCCATCAAAAATCGTCTACACATCACCACGAGGCTATAATTAATAGACCGCACGAAAGAGTATCATTGATTTGTTTCCGGATTGTGGGATAGTCCACCCACATAACAATCCTTGCCATTAAACTGCAAGACAAAAGCTTGACTGTCAACATCTATTTATAAACGCAAATAAAAGTGCGTGAAAACATTTTTGAAACACCCACAGCACAACACAATTGTAAAATAATGATCTTGTGGAAAACATTTTATGAGGAAACTGGAAATTTCCGGACAGTTTAGATGTAAGTAGAAGTTGTCGTTCTATGTATGAAAATTCAATTTTCGCAGTTACTCGCCGATTAATAAACCGAGATGGTGTCAAACTTAAATCAATACGACTAATAATAGGTCTGGAGTTATTGGGAGAAAACTCATACCCATAATCATACAAATCTAAAATTTTACAATAGATGCAAATAACGTTTTTTGGACTTTCAAGTGATCAAAAAACACGCGAACTGTTGAAGAAATTTTAAAAAATGCTATATGTATTATGAATCTTCAAAGGCGCCAGAATATCGGCAAAACGCAAGTAAATAATACCTAAGCAGAAAAAGTAGGTACTACAAATTAACTCCATAAACATTAACTGCAGTATCGTTTGTTATAAATAAGTACACGGAAACGTCTAAGTATTCACGTGTGGAGGCTGAAACCCGCCAAGTCCTAATATTTTCTATTGTCTGATCTTCTCGAGGATAAGTCCATTTACCCACATTTGGGATTTCAAGGTTACTCCTTCAAGTAGGTTCTCCACATCATGAATCACAATCAAGGTCGTGTCATATTCTTTTGAGAAAATTTCAACCAAAAAGAAAAAAATTGAAGAAAAACATTTTCGTTTTGAACACGTGCTCAATAGTGTGTGAACAACACGTCCTTGAATTACTTCTTATTCTTGTTTATTATTTTTTAAGAAAATAACAATAGTACATGAAACCAGTTTCGTAACACGAACATTTTTCATATTTTATTATTGGTTTGCTGAAACGACGCCGCAGCCTTGCTACGATTTTTTTTCGGGCGGTAGTTTAAACCTGGGTTAAGTAGACCAAGGAAAAAGAAAACTTAAATATGGACAATTACTACAAAAATCGACGACCATTTCAGCTATTTGGTCTTAATTAATTAATTCATGGAAATTCTCATTTTCTCATAAGTATTATTTTAGCACTTTTGCAATTGCCGCCAAGGCGACACTAATGATCTTTTTTCATTCTTTTCAGTTCTAACCTTTCCAATTTCTTTTTTTCAGACGATGTAGAAACTTTTACCAACTCTGCAATGTTTGCCAACACAACCATCTCTTCACGGAGCAGTTCCAGCTGCAGTCGCGACTCCTCGATGCCTTCTCTTCGAATGCGAAACCCTCTCTCACCCAAAACTTCCTATAACCCTCTTTTCCGCCACTCCGACGCTTTTACCAGTTTTGACGCTTCGCACTTTGTCTTCCAAGAACAAAAACGTAAAGACAAGAAGAATCCTCCCATTTTGCGACGGTACCACTCCCATGACTCCCATCACAATTTTGATGATGTGAGAATAGATTCAAAAGATGATACCCCGGATTCGACTAAAAGTAGGGCTAGTACCGGATCGGAATCCGGGCAAGAGTACGACGCCAGGGATTTTCTAGAGAGGTACTCTTTACCAAGAGTTGTGAGAGTGAGCGGAGGAGAACCCTTGCTCTTGTATCGGTGCTTTGATAGTTTTACGAAGATTGAAGCTAGAGGAGTGTTCGGGAAAAAAGGGAAGGAGAAGACTGATGGGCAAATTTTACATTTTCCTGAAGGGTATTCAGGTAAGTTAACTTACAACAAGAAGCTCGTCAGAGGCAGCTTTATCAATATCCTTTAATTTTTAATTGAGACAGATTTAAAATGTCTTATTTTTAAGTGATGCATTGTTTAATTATCCTTTCATATTTTAATCTAACGGAACCTGCAAGTTATTTATCGTTTTTGCGATGTTTTTCTAGGATAATTTCAGTCATTTTCCACTGAAATTGACCATGACGCACGTACATAAATCTTGTTATCTTCAAAAACAATAGCATATGCAAAAAAACAAACGAAAACACAAATTTTTAATGAAAGTCTGCTACATACATGAAATATATTTTTTTAATTTTTGTTTTTTATCTTGTAACTAGCATGAAGAATAGTATGAGGTATCACGAAGATATAAATATTATAATTTAAGAGTTAATAGTGGTAATGATACGTGTTTTTACCCATAATTTACAATTTGTTTGACCTTGGGCGGACTTTATCTTCCGGCTGTTCAACTTAATCTTAATTATAATATTTAAGTTACAATAAAGAGAAGAAAAGATTAACACAATACGTGTTTCTTTTATATTTCAATGGGAAATTTTGGAAACAAGTAAATCAACATATACTCATTAACAACTTATTTAACCTCTGTTTCCAAATGCTCTAGAGCCGTTTATAACAATTTCGAATGCATATTACTACGAGTATAAACATCTAAATACAGAAATTATCATTCAATTTTTGTTATTTTTATTAGAATTCAAAAACGTCAAGATATGTTCTTTCAAATTCTTGCCGGCACCTATTTTAATTCTTTATGCTACCTAATTTTCCATCAGCGTTCTTTGTTAAATAAAAATAAAACAAATGGCAAAATGGCTTTTTAATTAATGACTGTCATTTCGATGTTGCGATTGAACGAAGTAGTGGGCAAGCCCCCGTTCCTGATTTCAAAATGCATCTAACGAACTGTGACGTCTTGATGATTGACTATTAATTTAACGTCCAGGATTTCGTTCGCTTTTTGAAGAACGCTCGATAAATCATAAGAGAATGCGTGGTCCGTACTCGCCCTATATTTACAACGTTGCACAACCGTCGATTACCAGCAATTTATGCCACATATCTTTGGATTTTTTCGAAATTTTTAAACACCACATAATTGCCATAATTCAGATGATAAGAGCAACCATGCGGGCAAAACCAAACAAAAACAAAGAATTAATGAATTATTTTATTTGTGATCTGATTACGTAAATAACTTTCGCTCAATAAAACAAAAAAAGATTAATTTAATCCTAGGATCGAGCAAAATTTATGGTTATTGCGGGTCTAACAGTACGAAAATAGCACTTTTTTGCACTAGACAAGGGTCAAAAGTCAATTTAACGGTAATCAAAATTTACATAAAACTCGAATAAAATCTATTTTTAACAAGGAAGGAGAAATATTAATTTGTAAGATGCGAAAATAGATAAAAATATCAACTTTTACTATTGTCTTTGACGAGCAATACGCCGACTTATGAAAAAAATACGAATTTGCAATTCAAATTTTCATGTTACGTGTCGTTAATTAATCTATGATTGGGAATGATACTTTTAAAATTTTTCTAATTTTTCATGGATATAATCTCCACTTGTTCTGATTTCATAACGAGACGTAATTTTGAACATCCTGTCTTAAAAGCACTAAACACTTCCCATACAATAAGTAGGAAAAATTATGACACCGCAATTGCAAATTCTCCCACCGAAAACAATCAAATCGGATTCTCCCATGATTGCATCGCCTTCATGAAAATTCAATGCAATGATAATTCCATGTTTCTTTAGTTATGAAAATCAGGTCATTTCATTACGTCATTCTGTTGTCATCACATAGTTTTTCATACCAACAGTGAAAATTCACATAGTCCTTGCATAACTGAGAGAAATGGGACATTTTATGCCAATTCATAAAGAGAAGTTGTTAAATTTAACGAAACTGTTCATTAAAACGTTGTGCAACACTGCTAAGTTGCACTCTGCAATGGAAAAATTACATGGCATTAAGCCAATTAGGTTCGGAAATACCGTTTTTGCATTAAAATACGCGAGTTTTTAATTACCCAGTTCCCAATGAGTTGCCTCTACTGGGCTAATGAGGGATTATTTTTACGATTGCAATGGCCGTAAGGTCTCACTTTTGAGCCTTCCATTGTACGGGAAAAGCTCAGCTTACAGGTCTGTCATGAAAATGAATAAATCAAAGAAAATGTTATTAAAATTTTTGTCTTCTGTCGTCTATAAATTAAAATTCTTTGTCTGCAGTTAAACTCTTCATTTACGATGCCGACTGTAGTCGACATTTACACAACACCGAGATTAATAGCTTTCGTGTTTAATAAAGAAATTAAAAATGTCAGCAGACAAAAGACAAAGTGTTAAAAAGTGTTGGAATCGTGGCGCAATAAAACCCAAATGATACATGACAAGTATTGTGCCTAAAAATTTAATGAAGTCTATCAAACGTTATAGAAATTCAACAAACCGAAGAACATTAATTGACATTAATGGTTCCAAAATCAAACGATGTACAGTTATATGCGCTGTTGAAGCCGTTCTTTTGTTACAGGCTGGTTCTCTTTAACGAACGAAAAAGGTGAAAAGAGCGCCGTAGTGTACACGTCGGTTTTGCAACTCGTCCGAGAACAAGTCTGTTCTTTCGTCAGCATGCAACCGTTCACGGCGTATGCCACACAAACGGCAGATCTTACAGGTAACTTCATCTACTTTTGCCCAAATGTTGAATTTCGCCTTCTCTAATGGAAGTTATTCGTTTTAAGCAAAGTTGTTCAAAAACTTTTTTAGCAAAACTGGTCTGTGTTCAAAGTTAATTTAAGAAATTTGTCAATTACACATTTCTAAAATAAAATCAGGAAAAGAATGATATACCTTTTCACCTTTATTACGATGCTGAAAACTTTTTCAGGTCGCGACTACAAAATTTACTTTAAAACGTAAAAAAACAATATTATTTCTAAGTAGTTATTTTCACTATTAGGACCTAGAAGTATCTACGTTTATACCTGAAAAGTTATTTACTAATATTCCAATTATGTAACAAATTTTTTGATTGTCTTATTTGTACATGTAAAACTTTTTTCATTGTCTTTCTAACATAAACTTTATTTAAAAACAGTTGATTCAGAAGTGGTACAATATTTTTAAATTGCTTTTTTTATAATTGTTTTAGCATTTTTACGCTGTGATACTGTTCCGTAAATTTAACGTCTTATGAAATTCTTTAAAGGCTGAAATATAAATGTGCAGTCATCTGTCTATAGCATTTTCAACATTTTTTAACGAAATTTTTCTCATTTCTGCCTCAAAAGAATGTTTATGTATTTGTGTTGGAATTTGTTTAAAACATTTTGTTGAATCCAAATTTCAGACAGCAGCGGCAAAGTGCAATATTTAAAAACTCAAGTCCGCGCGGGTCAACTCTTCCAACTGAGGGCGGTTTTCCAGCACAAGGAGCGCCCCGACGGCGGCAAAAACTCGACAAGGTCCTCCAGGATACCTCGTTCAGCCCGTGACAAAGACCTTGCAAACCGTTACGCTCAACTCGTCAGTCAAAACAACCAAGTGAGTACCCACTGACCATAACCCATTCTATAAGTTTTAATTTTTCCCGTTTAGGAATTGTACGTCCCACTCACGGCGAAAGGGGAATTCTACGAAATCCACAGCTCGATGAAAGCAAAGCTCTGCTTTCCCGGAATGTTGGACAAAACTGGACCGTTGGCTCTTGACAAAGACTGTCTTTATCGAATTACGCATTTACTAAGACGAGTGGCACTTCCAGTCAAAGTCAAATTGATCACCGGCCCGCTGCCACCCGGGCTTCCCAAAGAGTTTACAGGTAATTTACGCTTCTTAATCGTAATCATTATGAACGTTTAATAAATGCGTCTTGCTTTTGTAAAAGTTGTGCCGAAACTAGCGGCTTGAGGTTCGTTATAAACTTACGAAATATCTCTAATGAATGTTTTCAAAGAGTTGGTCATTAAATTTTATTTATAACTGTGATTAAAGAAAAACTCTCACTCTTATTGAATTTAAACGACCATAAATTAACAAAAAGAAGGATTTTTCAAAATTTTATTTTTTGTTTGGCGAGTACTTAATCATTAAATGTTTCTCTGAAAAGCATTGGAATTTCGTGTAAAATATTCATCGGTTTTTTCCTTCGTCTGTCTGTTTCTATTTTCGGCGATTCACCCATATTTGGATAATTTATTGAAGAAATGAAAGAAAATTCTTGTTAGAGCCGACCAGACGACTTGACTTGTCGCAACATCTCCTTCTCTCTCCTACACAATTTAAAGCGTCCTGTAAATGTTAATGGACTCTGTTAGAAGGATGTTCCGTTTAGTTTTTTGTCACAATCAGATTGATGTTATAATAATGATGTTGAAGCAACACAAAAAATCACCAACAAAATTGCATTTCAATTTATTTCTTACAAGATAAAAAAAAAACAAGTACAAGTCCACATAATGACCTCATGACGGTTTCTTAGAATCAACACACTTAAAAAAGTTTTTATTTTCAGACACTTTTATCCTAGAGAACAAATTTCAAGAACCCTTAATGGTCACCTGTACTTTACCACCTCCAAATCAAGATATCATCCAACACCAAATCAGTTGTATCAACCTTAACTCTAATGTGAAATTATCAAAAAGTACCTTGGGATTTGACACTGAAAACCGCCTCTTTAAGTCACAACGACTTCAAGCAGCTTTAGCGTTTTGCCACAAAAACGTCGAAAGTTGGTATCGAGAAGTTCGACTAGCGCCTGATTTCAAACAGGAACAACTTTGTCCCGAATGCAGAAAAATTTCAAGTGAATGTGAGGGCAATTGTGCTGCCCCAGACTTCGACAATAGACAAATCATAACAAAAGAAGTTTTGGAAAAATTCCCAAAACCGAAAAAATGGTACAAACAGTTTAAACTTTTAAGCAAGAGCGACGAATGTCCCCAATTTGCCGACCTGAAGGACCCTCTCGATGGCATGGAAAAAGGCAAGAGCATAGAAAGGTATAAAGACATGTCAAAACTAATCGAGGAAAAATTCGGCCGGAAAAGTTACAACCCGGTCAAAAAATCTGCCAGTTTCATGTTCTCTACTAAGCGAATTGACTTGGAGGAGACGAACCATCAGCTCAAAAACAATCCAGCTTTGCTCAAATGTCAGAGTTTAGACACCCAACTCTATTCTATTGCTGAAACTCAGAAATTAAACCAAGAACGTGGTTCTCTTCGAAGTTATGATTTCCAGATGTGTATTTTGGACGAAAGTACTAGTAAAGACAACCTCAATGAAATCAAACCCGTCTCCGAGGTTAAGCTGAAGAAGACCAAGCCAGACCTTATCCCCACGCTACCGAAAGCCGACCCCGACCATTCCTACATCACCGAGAGGCTCTGTTCCGAATTTCATGTCAAAACCAAAGTACAAAAACCCAAGTGCTCCAAGATGGAAGTGCGATTGAGTGGCCGATATCCGAAGAGTGCGCTCACGGTGTACGAACCTCAAAAAACGGTGATAGTGCAGGTGCACGAGGTCAAGCCCGATGGCTTTGTTAATATTGATGATATACCATACAGTCATGTGGCTGATGAGGTGTGTCAGAGATCCAGTGGCGGGAAAAGTACAGATGAGAATATTTATGCGGAGATCTGCGAGAGTTCCACGTGTACAAGATGTGATAATAGTAAATTGTGTGAGTGTAAAAGGACTAAGAAGGAGACGGAGTATTGTTATGTGAAATTGGGCTCAAATGGAGATAGTGTGACGCAGTCAGATTCGGATGAAGCTATATACAATACGTTAAGATGAAGATGCGCTTAAATCTAATTTAAATATTTTTATTAATAATAATATTATGAGTAATATTGTTTTACCAATAAAATATTTAATATGATTATTACCACGTGTTTTTTTCTTCGTTGATTGAGAATCAAGTTTTAAGTCAGGGAAAAAAGTTGATAACGCAGAAGGTAAATTTTAATTAATTCGAAAAACGTTCAAAGGACTAAAATCACACTCTTTGCACGTTGAAATTATTATAATTTTTGTTGCAATTAGAAAGGTATACCTAGCAATAAATCGAATCATTATTTTAACATAACATCGTGAAAGCTTATCACTTGGAGACAAATATAAACCGACTATTTTTTAGTTCCTCACAAGTCAGACAAAAATGTAATGGGTTAATAATTACGCTAAACAAATATTATTAATGAATTAACGTAGGAATTGTAAAAGTTTGTAAGCATTGTGATTGGTCTCTTAGGGGTCGGCCATTATAATAACGTAAGAAACCAATCATTTTAGTTTTTAGATTCATTAAAAAATTTAATACAATTGATTAATTTGGATGTGATTGGTCAATTCTAAGTCGGCCATTACAAAAATGTGAAAAACCAATCACTTTAGAGTTTTGATTTCATTCAAAAATTTAATTTAACAATAAACAATAAATCGTTTTGTAAAACATACATTAGAATGTACTGTTATAATTTTACAAAATAAAAATGAATTTGATGAGCTTTTTGAATTTATAAGCTTGCCGCTTAACCTCCAACTTAAACAATTAAACATAAAAAAGACAAAAATTACTAGAACCTAACCCCGAATAGAAACAGAAATAATTTATTATCTTGTAAAATATTATTGTTGTCGCAGTTTGTTAAACGTTACTTATTTTTGTTTCAAAATTCTATCGGATGGAAATGTGTGCTTGAGCACATTTTGGTAATATCATCTATGGTAATATCAATGTCGCCAGCATAACCTCACTTTAAAATGGATCAAGAACTGGATAGAACGCTAAAACATTCCACTGATGTGATAGAACTTTTTAGAAGCAAAGAAATGGTGAAGATTTGCGCCCCCATGGTACGCTACAGCAAGTAAAACTGATTTTAATGAACTTTCCACATAACCTTACATTCTTAGATTGCAGTTCCGAAATTTGGTCAAATCTTATAATTGTGATCTTTGCTATACCCCCATGATTCTGGCAGATTCGTTTTGTAAGAGTGACAAGGCTAGAGTTAATGAATTTACAACTAACTTAAGTAAAACTAGTTTAGATATTATTCTGAATTAACTTTTTATGTTGGTCCCATTTTTAGATGATACACCACTAATTACCCAATTTGCAGCTAATAAAGTTCATGATTTTGTAGGAGCAGCTTACATGGTGTCTCCGTTAGTAATTCAGGTTCATATTATTCAAGCTTCTATTAGTTATATTTTTAGTTTTTGTGATGGAGTTGATTTAAATTGTGGATGTCCTCAAAGATGGGCGAAACAGCAAGGTTTGGGTTGTATAATGTTAGAAAAGCCCGAAGTAATTTATGATCTGGTCAGACAGTGTAGGAATGCTATAACAAAGCCATTTACAGTCAGTGTTAAAATGAGGCTGCAGAAGGATTTGCGAAAAAGTATTGATATTTGTAAACAACTGGAGCGTTGTGGAGTTAGTTATTTAACAGTTCATGGACGTACACCTGACCAACTAACAGGGGAAATAAATAAAGAAGCATTGAATTTAATCGTGGGAAGCGTAAATATACCAGTTGTTGCTAATGGGGGTGTTAAATCTTTGGAAGATTGCTTGGCGTTACAAGAAGAAACAAACTGTAAAGGTAAGTACACAAAAATGGAATGAGGAAAACATATTTTACTTTTTTTACATCAGGAATTATGGTGGCTAATGGTATACTTACAAACCCTACATTATTTACGGGTTCTTCTATCACCACTACTGATTGTATTCAAAGATGGCTCAATATCTGTTACAACACAACACTTGATTTTAGAGACACTAATAGAGTTCACACAATTTCTGAAAAACCGAATAATTTAACGTTCCAATGTTTTCATCACCACTTAGTTTTTATGTTGGAGAAACTTTTAACAAGATCAGAAAAGCGTATTTTTAATAATCTTCAGAGTTTTAGGGACGTTTTAAGTTTTATTAAAGATAAGTTTGATTTAGCTCCACAACTTGATAACATTGATGATTTTCATAATGTGAAATTATTTAATTTAGATTTCGGTAAAAGACACGAGATTTATTTTACACTTAAACCGGAAGATGAAGTTTTTATAGATTATGATTTATTCTATGATTGTAAAAGTGAAGGAAAGTATTTTAAAAGTAAATTGGAAGGTGAATGTGATTGGTCCAATATTTTTCTGGAAAATGCATGAAAAAATAAAGTTGTTAAATGGAATTTTAGAATGTTTTTATTGCTCAACTACCTACATATTTTTTATACCTACAAAATTGCAATAAAAATCAACTTGATGTGGTTATGCAATCCAAAATGCAGATGCTTATGTTTGGCTGCATATAAAGAAAATTGTATTTAGTTTTTCAGAATAAAAACGTGACTACCAGTTCAAAGGGTATGTTGTCACAGGTAAATGTTCCAAATTTTATAATATTTGGTCAAATAGTTCCAAAGTTATTACAAAAAAATCAAATTTCCATACCCACATTCCGAGGGCTGTAAAATTCTTATCAGTAGAGATAGGACACGAGTTATTATTTAAATTAACATCATTTTATAGGGCATTTTTGAAGTTCAAATATTGCTTCATATTTGTGAATAATCCTGTATCTAGTACCCTCTAAAAGCTTGAAATGTTGGTCGCCTACCCTATGAAATTGACCCGGTTTTTTTTAAAGTATACATAGGGCTATGTGTCCTTGTATAACGAGTGTTTATTAAAATTTGGCGTCAAAGCTATTCATGAAAGTTCGATTATGAACGAACCATCGTATTGAAAGTCATTAATCTCACATTTAACACTTCGTCGGGCGTATTAAAAGTTGTGGTCCGTTCACAATACACTCATATCATCGCCAACTATGACGCCAAATTTAAATAAACACCCGTTATTTTAAATCTAATTTTGACAGATGAGGGAAGAAAATTTTTACCTCCCTGGGAGGTAATTGGCTACTTTCCTAGGGTCGTAGGAAAAAAATAATAAGTAGGTATGTACAGAGTGCTGCATTTTGGATGTCCGAATAGGGAATCTCCGAAACTAAGATGTTTAGCCAAAAACGACTGATACATTCTGGAGCTCATTTTTTGAGAAAATAATATTGGTTAAAACCGCATCTCGCTATCATCTTTTGTTTTCGACTTACAGACAAAAGTTGATATTTTGGCGAAATCTGAAAAAAATTATATCTTCGTTATTATAGAAGATACTGATTTGAAATAAAGACATTATACAGGCACTTTTTAACGAGGAATTTAATAATGTAGTTAACAATTTTTTTCAGTTATTAGTTTAGCCGTAATAAGATAAATTTGTATTTTTTTAAATGAAAATCATAAGCGGCTATGGCAATTTTGAAAAGCTTATTTTTTTCTGATTTAAAAAATATATATTTGTAACAAAATATTTGTTTATAACTATACTTAAAAAGTGAAAAACATATTTTGTGAGATAATAGTTGGCCATGGAAAAACTATTTCACTCCAAATGTGTAAATAATAATCAATAAGAGTGTTGTGAACTGTAAAATAGATGAAAAAATATATAAAATTATAAAGACTTAAAAAATACGATACGGTAGAAGCATTGAACAAATATCCGAGCGCCTCAGAACAAAATTATTACATATTTTTAAAAAATCAAAAAATAGGAAAAACAAATGTGTCAACAGTCAACACAATTACAAAAAACATTTTTTTGATGATCTAATGGAGGTAGGATAACGTTTCACATAGACGGAATTTGGGTATTTGAATAGCCATATCGTCATTTTTGTGTCATGTAAAATATATTTTATTGAAGAATTAAAGCGGCTTTTTTTTCAACACTCTATGTAGCACTAGAAGTTGCAATGGTAATGTTAGCTTGTTTAAAAAGAAAGAAATGCTATTAGTCGCCAATAAGTTGATTTACAATTTATTTTGCATCTTTTTCATCACTTAGTACTTAGAAAACTCTTTCATTAGTGACACTGGTTGAATATAATACAGTTTAAATCCTTTTAGTTGAAGATGCAACATTTTTTCATAGCCAACTGCGAACAAAAATCAAAGATAATTTTTTGCTAAAAATGTATTATAATAATTTGTTACAAATATATATTTTTAGATAAGAAAAAAACAAGCTTTTTAAAAATGACATAGCCATCTATGATTCTCATTTAAAAAAATACAAGTTTATTTTATTACGTCTAAACAAACAACTGAAAAAAAATGTTAACTACATTATTAAATTCTACGTAAAAAAGTGCCTGTATAATGTCTTTATTTCAAATCTGTGTCTTCTATAATAACGAAGATATGAATTTTTTTAGATTTCGCTAAAATGTCAATTTTTGTCTATAAGTCGAAAACAAAAGACGATAGCGGGATGCGGATTTAACCAATATTATTTTCTCAAAAAATGAGCCCCAGAATGTATTACTCGTTTTTGGCTAAACCTCTTAGTTTCGGACATTCCCTATTCGGACATCCAAAATGCAGCACCCTGTACATCTATGCCGTTTTGTTCGCATCAGTGTATGAGTGTACAGGTTGAAGTAGAGAAAAAATTGCAGAAAAGCCAAAAACTAGTAAAATACCTTCACTAATGGTAATATTTAGGTATAATATTAAACTCAAAAACGACAAATAAGAAAGTGAAAAAAAAATATCTTTTTTTGCCTATACTTAGGTAATATTTAAATTACGTAAATTCGCTACTGGAACATTAAATTCTACTCTACCTAGCAGATAACGAAATAACCTAATTGTTACGTAGAACCTGAATCCAGTCGATTTTTTTTGCTACGATACACAAAGAACATGCAACGTACCTAAGTTTTCTTTTAGATTACCCACTGTCACTGTTGTCCGTAAATTCAAAATAATATTATGAAATATTAATATGCAATGTCGAGAAACTGGATAAGATGTTATATGGTAGGTACTCGTGGGTTGTTGTAAATATATGGAGAGTTCAAAACCTAATCAGTGTAAGTCAACTTAATTAAGCATTTTAAAAATTTATTACAACAGCAAAGCTTGCAAAGGTGAAAAAAAATTGAAACATATTTGATAATACCTACTTTAAAGTAGGAACGTACGTGCACTGTCAATTGAAAGATTTACAATGCAGTGTCGTCTACATAGGTCATTTTGAGGAAAATTGTGATTTTCACTGATTGCCTTCTGAACCCTGCATATACCTAACTCACTTAAGAAAGGATTGTGTTTGTTTACTCGACAAGGTCTCGTAAGCTTTCTTACGTCTGTAAAATGAAATAAATCTGCTTCTATTACCCTAAGTATAGGTAAGCTAATTCTTGGTTTGTAAAAATTTTTGCAACTCAATTAAAAAAGAGGTAAACATAAAAAAATTAAATCAAAAATTAACCTAAAACAATCCCAAATTAATTAAATTAGAAAACTACTTTTGTATAAAATTTTATTTTTGTTCATTACAATTATTAAGTCATTGCACAAGTATCTAAGATATTTTAACAGATACTTATTTATTTAAATAAAGCATATAAAAGCGTTGTATGAAGTCGTGGTATAGCTGCAATATTGATTTAGGTAGGTGTCCTTAGTAAATAATTTTATGAAAGCTTTTGTGCTAGAAAACTAACATAGTTTTATTTCTAATTTTTTTTGATGTGTTTTACGTAGGTATAATATGTGTACAGAATTTTTTCGGCAGAAAAAAAATATTTTTTTTTAGAAATGACATCGACCCGACACCGTTACCTTACAATCTTCCCTGTCTCTTTATTGATTAGCTTGGAAGCTTCAAGCACAAACAGATTCGCTCCAATAACTAAACACAACGAAAATTTAATTCAATTTCAATTTGTCTTTATCTCTGCATTGGCGGTAATATGGTGAGCGCAAAATCTCTGTCGAATTTTTCCTCTCTTCATTAATTCTTCGCCTTTTCTCGTTCAGGACCCCCAAAACTTGCCCCGCCTATCTGGGCGTGTCAAACTAATCAGGGTGTGTAAAAATGTCTTTTCGCTCCACCTTCCCCATCATAAGCCACCCTCCCCTCCATCCCCTCCTCTTAGTTGCTCGTCTTTACACTGAAAGTAGCGGCGCTGTCGTCGACGACAAGTGCCCGTAAATTGTAAGCTATATCGGCAAAGCTTGTAATTTAATTGTTCACTTAAAGCCGCTAATAAGAGTGTAGATGTATATATTTGACTTTTAAATTGGACAGGGGGGTCCCGACGGGAAAGTCTCGTATTACCCACTGACGTGTTGGTTATTTCGATTAAACGAAAATTACCTATCGTTTGTTAAATTGTCGGGGTGGTTTTTCACTACAATTTGGTGGTATGGTTTGACGGACTTTTAGTTCATTCGGGTTCGATGTTGTTCAACATTTCGACCTATTCCGATTACACTCCCCTGCCCTCCTATGATGAGGTAAGCTTTTTAATTTTCATTGTTTTACCATGATTTATAGGTTGTTACTATTTTTTTGGTTAATTGCGACAAAAATAAAAAGTATAATACGTTTAAATTTCAAAGTAAGAAAATAATGAATGATTGCCTTTTACTTCAATATTATGTTGTTGGTACATAGGTATTCTTCGCTTCATTATATTATCATTTAACCAGAAATTTTGAATAGGTATTTATAAGCGGTACCTACTCTTTTTAATTTTAATTTTGACACATATATTACATAATAAATTGGGTATTCATTTTCATACATTTTAAATATTTTATAATAAAGTGGGACATTTTTATAAAAATCTTAATGTTTGTATAAATAAACTGGTTGCCAGCACTAATTTACATTATTTTCGTATGATTTTTAAAATGTATCTTACTCAATGATCTTACTTATAAATTAAGAAATAAATTAAAAGATAGCTCAATAAATATTATTAAATAATTTATACATTAACTATAAATTAAATAATTTATTGCCAAAAATAAATATGCACTTTAAGTTGTATCTAATTATTATTATTATTATTATTTATACTGCACCTACTTATTTGAACTTAAAATGTTTAATTACACAATAAGAGAAAGAAGTTCTCTAAATAATTATGTATTTAAAAATTTATTGAAATAATTGGTTCAATGTAGCTAATATAAAATATCTTCTGATTGCTTAAGTATTACCTACTTAGACCACACATCGAAAAATCTAACTATGACTATTGCTTTATATAGGATGATTCAAAAGTGTCAGGCCAAGTATCGAATGTTGATA